AAACACTACTAAAATTCAAGCCTTCAGCAACAATATATCAGCAACATGGGATCCTTTGTTGCTAAAAATTTGTATTAGCAACAAGACTCACGTTGCTGAAAGTTGCATAGTACATTTTTCCCCTAAAAAGTTGTTCTACTTTCAGCAATAAGGAGTATGTTGTTGAAATTTAAGGAGTATGTTGCTGAAAGTGAATTTCAACAACATACCTCATGTTGTTGATATTTTCCGACAATCATTTCCCCATCTAATTGAGCTCCACTTTCAGCAAGATATTCCTTGTTGCTGAAAGTGACTTTTAGCAACAAGAGCTATCTTGCTGAAACTTTTCCAACCACACCTAAAGTATTAGCAACATATACTATATTGCTATTATTTTTATCATTTTACCAACCAAACATTAGCAACATATCCCTTGTTGCTGATATTACCACTTTGACTAATAGTTGGTCAAGGCCATTATATATATATATACCTTTAAATAAAGAGTCGAATCTAGCTACAAAGATTCGACTCGTAGCTAGATTCGACTCTCGAGTATTCAAGATTCGACTATATATGGTGAACATTCGACTCCCAAATTCTAGAGAGTTGAGAACATTTTGAGTGTTGTGTATAGTCGACTCTCTTTAATGAGAGTCGACTCTTTTTGGAAAAGAGTCTACTCTTATGTAATATCCCAAATTTTTGGGAATATTTAAGTGTAAGTTAAGGACTTGATTGTGAGAAAAGATTGTTTTGGGGCATAATGTGAATATTCTGAAAGTTGAGGGACTTAAAGAGGGAAAGATTTTGGATAAGGATGGTTTATTTCTTTTTCTCCTTTTCCTCTTTCTTCCTCACCCGATTCTGCTCTTCTTCCCGCTGCAGCCCGAAATTCCCCCCCTCCAAGCCGCCGGCACCAGCTTTGAAAAATTGGTGAGAAAGCTTGGAATTTCTCCTCCTTTCTTGTCCAAGAACCTGATTTGGAACCCAGAAATCTTCCCCCCTGCTGGAAAAGCCAGATCTGCCCTGCTCTGCTTTGTCCTTCCGTCGGCTGCTCTTGATTGTGGGTGATTTCTGGGCATTTTTTCGGTAAGAACAGCCCCTAATTCCTTTGTTCTTGCTTAAATTGGCTTGGGTTAACTTTGATTGCTCTTATTCCCTTCAATTTTTGCAAGCCCCGTGAGTTTCTCCCCTGCACTGCCGCCGGCTTCTTCTTCCTCCCCAATCTGCTAGCTCCGGTTCCTTGCTTGTAAATTCTGGTATGTGGCAACCTTAAACCATTGTTTTTAAGCTTGATTAAGGTAGAATTAGCTTGATTAGTTTGCTACCGTGTGATGTCCGAATTTGACAGAAAAATGGGGGATAATTCCGGTAACTTTAGGATGAGATTTAAGCATTGATTCAAGTGAGATTTATGTGATTGAGTGTTAGTTAATTGCTGTGATTTTTGGAGAGAAAATCCCGTGAGATTAGCTAGTGTTTTGGCCAATTTTGGAAGTAGAGTTACTGTTCACGTCGGGGTCACTGTTCACCAGTTACTGTTCACACCCCGAGGGCCAACATTTAACGGGAATTTAAATGATTAGTTTGTGATATGAGAACGAATTTGGAGATGTCCGATCATGTGGAAAGTGATAGAAATAGCATTGCGATTAGGAATGATTCTAATGATGATTTCAACTTGAATTTGTGATAGTCCGGTATTAATTCTGAGGTGTTTTGATTAGATTCTTGATCGTTCTGTCAATTAGCATCGAGATTGAGTGCTCGGTTTTATGCGAGTGAGGTAAGTAAATTTATGGTAATGCCCGTACTATTTTTAAAAGCATGTTTTGATTTGTTTTTGAAGTGGTGGCGGGACTAAACCCGTTTTACACAAGCATGACTGATTTGAAGTGAAATGTTTATGCTTTTCATTAAATTGAGCATGCCTACTTGAAAGTTTAAATGAC